ATGTAAAAGAAAATCCCTTATTTATATTTGGAATAAGTAGAGAACCAGGTAGAGCATGGTGGCTCACACCTGTAATTCTAGCACTTTGGGAGGCTGAGGTGGGCTGACTGCTTGCACCTAGGAGGTCAAGACCAGCCTGGACAGCCTCATGAAACCCCGTCTCTACTAAAAATACAAAAATTAGCTGGGCGTTGTGGTGCCTGCCTATAGTCCTAGCTGCTTGGGAGGCTGAGAAAGGAGGATGAATGGAGCCCAGGAGGTGAAGGTGGCAGTGAGCAGAGATCATTCCTCTGCACTCAGCCTTGGTGGCACAGCCAAAGCCTATTAAAAAAAAGTGAGAGAGACAGAGAAACAGAAGCAGAATTATGATGTAGGAAGTCAACCTTGGCTTGAGGATATAAAATGGACTGAAATAGGGGATATGAGAAAGTAAGGTAATTAAGAGATTAATCAGAGTATCTGTGCCAAGGTTTCGATGAGGTCTGGAAGCAGGGTCCAGCAGTGGAAGCAGAGGAGGGCAGATACAACAGGTTTGAATTTCAGACCTTACCTTAAAGGTCCTGATACCTACTGGATCTGGGTTGAGAGAAAAAGAAGACAAAATCACCCCTGTGGTTTCCTGCTTGGGCAATCGGGAGGAGAGTGGAGCCATTACTAGGGAACCGCGGATGGGCTTAAATGAGGAATTTCCATGAAAAACTCATCAGATTTGAAAAGAAGATAGCAATGCTGAAAGTTAGCGACCAATGAACTAATATTCCAGCTGTTTAGCCAAGGGCAGTGGTTACAACTTTAATGTCTTCAGGCTCCTCTGAAATCCCCAAGACATGATGCTGACAGTAAAGTTGTCACCTGGAATTAGCCCACGCCATGAACACTGTGGTACATGGAGCTTGGATAAATACTCTACACTTGTTTGTGCTTTACAATCTGCATACCACTCACAACTTGCTTATTTCCTTTTACAGCAATCTTATGAGATAGGTTTTCTGAATCCCACTTTATTGACAAGGAAACTGAGGTTCAGAGAGGTTAAGGGACAGATCTAAGGTCACGTTTCTAGTGGAGACTCAAACTTGCCCACCCCACCACCAAGCCTTGTACCCTGTACACCAGGTACAGGACTGGCTGTTTACAATAAACTTTTCTGAGAAAGAGTAAGAATAAGCCAGTTCAACTGAAACTGACAACAAAGGCCAAAGAACAGTGAGAGTAAAATTCAGAGTGAAAAATTCAAGACCAGAGTAATTCCTTCCAGGGGTTCAGATGGGACCATTTACTCCCCTCATGCCTCTGTCATGTTTTGTCTACTCCCAGCCCCTTCCTATTGCCAGGAAACTCCAAGGAGGCTCTGCAATGGGGGAGGCAGGGAAGAGGCTGCTGGGGAGGACGTGGGTAACAGACTGAGAGTGGAATTTTCCCTGGTTGTATTTCCACCTCTGCACTTCCTGCTCCCTTCCTCTGCTTCCCCTTTGCTGCCAACTTCAGACAGACTGGCTCAAAGGAATTGCCATTTCAAAGATATAGAAGTCTAAAGCCAAGAGAAAAGGCTCTTCCTCAGTGAGTTCACAGGGATCTAGAGACCAGGAAAGGGGACTTTGTGGATGAACCCATAACTTCCTGTTTCCCCAAGCTGCTAGAAGAACTATTGGTTAAGAGCACAGATGCTGCACTAGACCTCAAGGGTTCAAATCCAGTTTTGCCATATTCTAACTCTGAGACTTTCGATGAGTTAATTAACCTCTCTGTGTCTGTCTCCTAATCTGTAAGAAAGGAGGACAATAATATTAACAATCTCATAGGGTTGCTATGAGTAACAAATGAGTCAGCACATGCAAAACCTGTAGCATAGTATCTGGCACAGAAAGAACACTGAAAGGATTCTCTGTTTTTATCTTCATACAGGCCACTGCCCATCCGTTATATCCCCTACCTTTTCACCATAAGGAACAATTCCTCTAGGCTGAGCATTGCTTTTTTTCTGGTATTAGGTGTTAGATTGCAAATATTGGTGACACATAAGGATTACAAACATTTAATCTTGGTCTTGTGTTAGTATTTGTTATGAAAGACACCATGAAAATAGAAGGTGGAGGAAATTGGAAGAGGTCAGAGAAGAACAAAAGAAGAGCAGAGTTTTGGGTGTGGTGGTCCATGAGTGCTGTCAAGTAGAGGCTTCTCTGAGGGCAGGGCATGGCTCTCTGCACAGTCAGAGCCCAGGTGTAGACACACAGTTCACCCATCCCCTGGGTTGGGGAGGAGGACAGGGAATTGGGCACCCAGGGAGGCAAAGACCCACTTTGCCAAGTATCAGCTCCAGGGTAAAGTGATGATGCTTCTGGATGAAGCTCTGGTCTGAGCTCTGCTACGCATTAACCAGATGGTCTTGGCAAGTTGCTTTATGTTTCTGGACCTTGATAGTTCATTGTCCAGTTGGATATGACTCCTTTTACTTTCCTCATGGGGTTATTTGCACAAGGAGTTGCTAGAGCAAGGTCTGCAATTTCCTGGGGGTATTGAGCAACAGAGACAAATGGTTAAAAAATAAAGCCTTAGACGACAAATTGAAAAGAGGGATATCTGGCCTTATACTGCCTCTTCCTCTGTCTCTGCTCTTAGCTGTGCAATTGTGCATGCTGTCTCTCTCTCTCACTGATGCTCTCTCTCTCTCCTCTCCCTCTCTGTCTCACTCTTTCTCATGCATTCTCTCTTTCTCATTCTCTCTCTCTGGTTTTCTTTCCCCCTCATTTTCTCTCTCTCTTTTGCTCTCTGTCTCTCTCTCTCTCTCACACACACACACTTACACACTCATCCATACCTTCACTTCCTTTTATTTTGCCTTCACCAAAGGTGTCAAGGTTGCTACAAAACAAAACAAAGCTCAGGGCAGTCTAGAGAGGCAGGGACCCCCTGGTGAGGTCTCCAAGTAAATGGTGTCCTTTGTGAATGTTGCGAAGCAATTGCCAAGACATAAAGCTTCAGGACATAAAAAAGTTGTGGACAAGAAAAATAACTGATGTGGGATTTTCTAGATGAGAAGAAAAGGGGCCTGGTGTCCAAGTGGCTGCCTCTTAAGTTCTGGGTTAGGACCGGAATCCAGTCTCTGGACACACCATCCAGAATCTTTCACACCATGCCATTTCATACTATTTAATTTTCTTTTTTTCTTTCTTTCTTTTTCTTTTTTAGACTGTGGGTGGAGGATTGGCTTAGATTTGACTACAACTTTCTATAACTTGCTAGAAAAGGTCCACCTTCTTGCACCCATGCACGGTTTAAAATGGAGCCACACACCCATGAATCAAGGAAAATTCCTTCCTCAATTCCGATCTGAAGGCCTTGTCCAAGGCCCTGATCTCCTTCAGCTCCTTCTCCTCCACCAAGGGGCGGATGATTGACCCAGAAACCCTCCTGCTTCTGTCACAAGGCAGCTCCAGCCCATCATGGCCAATCCAAAGTAGCAGGCAACACACTCTAGGAAACAGAAGATGCTGGGGAGCAGATCTGATTCCAGGGTGACCCTGGAGAAGGCTAAAAAAAGAGGTCAAATGGTTATATACTCACACAGATATCTTATTTTCCTGCACCCCATTTTCTGCAAAAATTCCATGTCTCCACCATTGCCAGGAGTAGCTGAAAGAAAATGAAGAAGCTCTTATTGTTAGATTGTTCAAAGCTGAACAGAAGACTCAGGGTGCTGGTCACTTCATCCCCTAAGGGAGCCCTGGAGCTTTCTGCTCTGTGGCTTCTGGCTTGCCCCTTATCCCCTTGAACTCCTGCCACATACTCATTGCTCCCACCTCCTACAGCATCCCTTTTCTCAGAAGAATAGTGACCTTTAATGTATATCTCTAATTCTTCCCAGCAATGGGAAGAGAAGTCCAATTCTAAGGCCGCAGTGCGGTAAAGAGTCTTAGGTTTAACATTAACAGGACACTGGTCGGTTGATACCAGATGTCGGGGATCCGCAATCTGTGATCTTAAACTAGACTGAGAGAAATCTCCAAGTGTAATGTGAACTTTGCCTTTGTGCAGTAAATATGTTTGGAAGGAAATCTGCATTAGCTCATTATCTCCTCTCGCAGAGTGTCATTTGAAATGTTGCTGCTGTCTTGCAAAGTTTAGAAATTCGCAATGGTGACAGCTCCAATCACTAAGTTTTATGGACGTGACTTACTTTCCTATTCAATATATCCAAAACCGCAGTTGTAACTTTCCCCTGGAGAGCTCTGGGGTTCCTAGATGAAGAACACCATTGAAGGAAAGCTATCTAGTGTTAACCACTTAATGATATGGCCTGTACCACAAGAGTGGGGATTTGTGGTTGTATGCCCTAATGACTCTTATCATAGATGTTTGAACTTTTCCCATATTCTTGGGTACAAAACCATTCTCAGCAAATTTCTGAAGATGCTGTGAATGCTCCTTGAGAGTATGTCTGAGAATTGCCCAAATTCACCACTGTAAGCTCTCCAAGACACTTTACTCTACTTAAAAAAATCGAGGTGTAATTTATATTCATTAAAATGCCCAGATCTCAAGTGTTCAGTTTGATGAATCTTGACAGTTATGTATGCTCATGTAGGTAGCACCCAAAAAATGTACTGGTCACTTCCTTCACTGCAGAAAGTTCTTTTCTGCCTGTTCTTAGTTAATTCCCTCCCCTACCCCCAATTTACCTGGTAAGCAACTACTCTCTGATTTTTATTCCTACAGAATTCTCATTTTATTCCTCTCTCTCTCTCTCTCTCTATATATATATATATATTTTTTTTTTTTTTGAGATGGAGTCTTGCTTTGTCACCCAGGTTGGAGTGCAGTGGCACGATCTTGGCTCACTGCAACCTCCATCTCCTGGGTTCATGCAATTCTCTTGCCTCAGCCTCCCAAGTAGCTGGGATTACAGGCATGCACCACCACGCCTGGCTAATTTTTGTATTTTTAGAAGAGACAGGGTTTTACCATATTGGTCAGACTGGTCTTGAACTCCTGACCTCATGTGATCCACCCACCTCAGCCTCCCAAAGTGCTGGGATTACAGGCGTCAGCCACCATGCCCAGCTCCTGTATTTTCTTAATTTATTCTTCTAAGATCTCCGTGGTTCTGGATATATATTTAAATATAAAATCATTCTGAACTGAATTTTTGTGCATGGAGTACAGAAGAATTGACCATTGATTGTCTCTATTGTTTGTTTATTTTTCTATTTCATGATTTTCTTTATTTTTATTATTGGCTTATATTTATTAACTTTGGGGTTGTTTTACTCTTTTTTTTCAGGGTTCTTATTATAAAAGCGTAGGTAATTGACTTTAGTCCTTTGTTCGTTTCCTCTACAGGCATTTAAAGTTGTAAGTTTCTCTCTAAGCACTATGTCAGCTGTGTCCAACATTTTGGTGCATGGGGTTATCATCATTCAGTTACTGATGTTTTGAATTCTTTCTTGTGAGTTTGTCTTTGACCCAAGTGACCCATACCAACAGAGTACGTTGCTTGTTTTCTAAAATTGGGGATTTTCTAGGTATCTTATTTTTATGGATTTCTAATTTAATACTATTGTGGCCATAGCATATACTCTGTATGATTTTGATCCTTACATATATATTGAAACTTGATTTATGGTGCAGCATATGGTCTGTGTTGGTGAACATCCCGTAAACACTCGAAAATAATGCTTTCTACAGTTATTCGAAATAATATTCTACAAATGGTTTGGTTTGAAACCCCACTCTAGGTCTTGCCCTCCTCCCGTGTTGTAGACATTCAACTGCTACCTGGGACCTGACTACCAATGCTTCAAACCCACTTGCCTAGAAAATGTTGGCCCTGTGCTATAACAACTTGTTCTCTGATAGCAACAGGCCCTGGGTCTTGCTGAGACATGTGGAACACTATCTGAACCATTCAGGCGCGTCACATATGTTTGCCTGCTGTAGCACATGCTAGAGTGCACCTTATAGATCCCCCATTGCCTTCAGTATGGGGCTGCACATTCCCTCAGATGTTGAGAGTCCTGGAGGCTGTAGATTTCAGCCAGCGTCTCTTGGAGTGTCTGAGTGGAACCAATAAATAAAAGCCGTAAAGAAAGTGAGAAATTAAACAAAGGGCAAGACTGATGAGGGCCACACTACTAAATTTCTTTTATTTTTAAATAGCTTTACTGAGGTATAATTGACATAACATTTGCTTATTTTAAGTGTGCAGTTAGATTATTTTCAGTAAAATTTTAGACTTGTGTGACCATCACCACGATCCTGTTTTGCAACATTTCTATCATTCCTAAGAAATCCCTCATGTTCATCAATCACCACCACTTTTTCCCAGTCCCCAGCTCCAGGCACCTCCTAATTGATTTTCTGACTCTACAGATTTGCCTTTTCTGGAGACCATATAAATGGAATAATGCAATATGTTGTCTTTTGTATCTGTCTTCTTTCGTTTAGTTTAATATACTTTTATGGTTCATGTATGTGGCAGCACAGATCAATATTTAATTACTTTTAGGTGCCAAATCCTATTAAATTATATGGATAGCTCCCATTAGTTTATTCATTTTATCAGTTGATAGATATTTGAGTGTTTCAACTTTATGGACTGTTACGGATAAAGTTGCTATGAATATTCACATTCATGTGTTGTGTGAACATAGGATTTTTTCTTTTGGGTAAATAGCTAGGAGTGATAGTGCTAGGTCGTATGGTAAATGTATCTTCAACATTTTAAGATACTGCGAAACTGGTTTCCAACATGGCTGCATGTCCCATCAACACTGCGTGAGTATTTTAGTTTTTCCACATCATTGTTATTTCACTTCCTCCAGGTGTTACTGTCCTTTTTTGTTATAGCACTCTAGTGGGGAAGAAGTGGTGTCTCGTTGTAGTTCTGATTTGCATTTCCCTGCTGACTGATGATGCTGATCATCTTTTCATGTACTTTGTTGACTCTTCCTACACCTTTTTGATGAAATTTTGCCTATTTTAAAATTGGGTTATTTATCTTTTCGTTGCTTAGTTGTAAGTGCATTTCGTATTCTGGACATGAGTCCTTTATCAAATATATGATTTGAATTTTTTTTTCTCAGTCTATGGGTTATCTCTTCATTTTCTTATTGATGGCTTTTAAATGCCAACATTTTTAGTTTTGATCCTGTTTCATTTTTCAACTACTTTTTAACCAGGAAAATTTGGGTTTTTGCCTAATTCAAGATTATGAATATGTTAATCTATGTTTTCTTCTAAGAGGTGTACAGTTTAGCCCTTAATTTTAGGCCTATAATTTATTTTGAGGGAATTTTTGCCTATGTGTGAGTTAATGGCCTAAATTCATATGGCCAATTGATTTTGACAATAGTAAATTCAATAGGGAAAAAGACTGTCTTTTAAACAAGTGACACTGAGACAGCTGAACTGTCCACATGCTCAGGGAATGTCAGCCTGCTATGTCAAGTGATGCCCACCCAAGTCACCACCTATTGGCATCAGAGTGTGTGAAGAATTTCTCAATATGATAACTGTGGGTTAAATAATATGCTGCAGCTCTCCGCTTCTCCCGTTCAACAGACAGCCACATCTTCTTGTGCAGTGCCAGCCACATCCCTGAGACACCATGGTAAAGGTGAAGGCCAGAGTCAATGGATTTGGCCCTATTGGGTGCCTGGTCACCAAGCCTACTTATAACTCTGGTAAAGTGGATATTGTCACCATCAATGACCCCTTCATTGAGCTTAACTACATGGTCTACATGTTCCATATGATTTCACCCATGGCAAATTCCTTTGCACTGTAAAGGCTGAGAATGGGAAGCTTGTCATCAATGGAAATCCCACCACCATCTTCCATAAGCTAAATCCCACCAAAATCAAATAAGGCAATGCTGGTACTAAGCACATCGTAGATTCCAGTGGCATCTTCACTACCATGGGGAAGTGTGTGGCTCATTTGCAGGGGACAGTTAAAAGGATCATCATCTCTAACCCCTCTGCTGACACCCCCATGTTTGTGATGGGTATGAACAATGAGAAATATGACAACAGCCTCAAGATCATCAGCAATGTTTCTTGTACCACCAATTGCTTAGCACCTCTGACCAAGATCATTCATGACAAGTTTAATACAGTGAAGGGACTCATGACCACTGTCAGTGCTATGACTGAAAACTGTGGATGGCCCCTCTGTGAAACTGTAGCATGACAGCTGCAGGGCTCAAAGGAACATCATCCTTGCATCATCCTTGCATCTACTGGCACTGTCAAGGCTGTGGGCAAGTATATCAATGAGCTGCATGGGAAGAGCACTGGCATGACATTCCAGGTCCCCACCACAAACATGTTGGTCATAAATATGACCTGTCCTCAGGAAAAACATGCCAAATATGATAACATCAAGAAGGTGGTGAAGCAGCACCAGAAGGCCCCCATAAGGGCATCTTGTGCGACACTAAGAACGAGGTTGTCTCCTCCAGCTGAACCACTGACACCCACTCTTTCACCTTGGATCCTGGGACTGGCATTGCCCTCAATGACCACTTTGTTAAGCTCATTTTCTGATGTGAAAATGAGTTTGGCTACAGCAACAGGGTGGTTAACCTCATGGCTCACGTGGCCTCCAAGGAGTAAGACCTGTGGACCACCAGCCCCAGCGATAGCATGAGAGGAAAACAGAGGCCCTCAGCTGCTGGGGAGTCCCTGCCACACTCAGTCCCCCCCAACACTGAGAATCTCTCCTCCACACAGTTTAGTGCAGACCCCCTGAAGAGGGAGGTGCCTAGGGAACCCCACCTTGTCATGTACCACCCATAAAGTCCCCTGTCTGTACTCAGAAAAAAAAAATGCAATATTAGGAAGACTCACAAAGATTACTGATCAGCAAAAGAATAGACAGCATGATTTCTCCATCCTCCTATTTTATACTGATGCATAAATGGTCAGGAAATGCTGGACTCACAGTGGGAGTCTGCATTCCAGTGTGGGAACAATAATCTCCCTTGTTATAATTTTTTATCACGTAAGCACAAACACAGCTTTATCATGGGGGCACACACAGGCTGTTGGTGTGAAATATTCTAGATTTAGGTGTCAGCTGTTCACAAGATTGTCTGGAAAAATCAACTGCCCGGCATCTAGAGTCCTTGGGGCTCACGCAAAGCGTTTCCCTTTTCTTAGGGGAGAAAGCCACCCATTTTATAGGGATCTATACTGAGCACAGTCTCTCATGCTGGGAAAAGGAAAATCCCTCTTCTTGGCTGGCTTACTAAACTCCTGGTTTACTTTAGGATAATTACACCCCTTGTGCTTGAGTCCTAGAGAGGTCATGAGTAGCATAGAATAAGTTTTAAAGGCACAGGACTAGATGAAATAAGTTAGGGTAAGAATATTCATGGATAACAGGGGAAGTTTCTGGACTGAATCCTGGAATACACATATCAACATTTGGAAGTTGAACAGAGAAGGAGGGGCCAGCTAAGTATGCTGAGTAGGAGTTGGTGGCAGGAAGGAGAAAAATTAGGAGGACATGGCCTTGTGAAAGTCAAGTGAAGAAAGTGTTTCAAGAAGAGTTTGGTTCACTATGTTGGGTGCTGCTGTCACATCAAATGCAGTAGGAAAATAAACGATTATTGATTTTGGCAACATTGTAAGTAATTTGTTTAGAACAATTTCCACAAATAGTTGGGTTGAAAGTTCAACTGGAAAGTCCAACACACAATTCATTTGTGTGTTGAGGAAGAGAAGAAAAATGTGGAAAGAGTGACTCTTAAAAACAACACCTGTTCAAGAAGTTGTACCATGAAGATCTCAGTAAAAAGGTGTTACAGCCAGTGGAGTGAAGAGTTTATTCTTGTTGTGTTGTCTTAAACTGGACTACTCCTTTACTGATCCTTAGCACCTTGTACAGAGCAATGTTCAAACATTGTTGAGTGTTTGATGAAATAAAGTGTCTATGTCTCATACATATTTTTATTACCATAAACATTTTCACAACATCTGACATATCATAGGAACTTAATACATGTTTATTTAATAAATGAATGAAAAGATGAGTGAAAAAATCAAGACTCTAGAATGTCTTAGTGCTTTTGAAACTTAGTGCTTATGGACTAATACATAGAAGGAAATAGAAGAGAACAGTGACCACAAAGATGAAAATACTGGAAAGTTTCCCATACTAATGAGAGGTTGAAATCATTGCCCAGGCCAAAGCTGTTTGCCAAGGAGATGCAATTTTCTTCCCATCTATAGCACAGATATGAGTAGGATCCCAGATATTTGAAGTGTACTTAAAGAACCAGTTTTCAGAAGTAAGGAACAATGGGCCATCCCCTCCACCATACAGGGAGAACTAGGGCCAGAAGTTTTGGGTTATATGAGCTCAACTTGGCTGTCTTTCTAGGCAAGACCTTCAGAATGAGAAAGGAGAAGGCTTTAGCAAAATGTCTTTTTTATTTCTTACTGAATTATCTGTTTGTCAGTTATTTTTGGGGGGAGGTCAGATAGATGTCACTGAACCATTTCCTCCGGAGTCTGACAATGATGGTATGGTAGCCAGCCTCTAAGGTGAGTCCAGTGATCTCTGCTTCCTGGTTTTCATTCCCTTGTGTGTGGGCTGAACCTAGTAACTTGCTTTTAATCAGTATAATGGGACAAAAATGATGGAATGTTACTTCCATGATTAGGTTAGAAAAGGTAGTGACTTGCATCTTGTTTTACACTTTCTCTTTCTCATTGGGCTGGATGGAGCAAGCTGCCATGCTGGACAGGACAACAGTATTGAACTGAGGGCAGCCAATGGTCAAAGGGGAACTGAGGTTCCCAGTCCAATAAGCTTCGAGGAAGTGAATTTTCCAACACCTATGTAAGTGAGCTTGAAAGTAGATATTTCCCCAGTTGAGTCTTCAGATGAAACTGGAACTTTGTGCCAATCAAGTCAAGAGCTCTTGGAACTCCAATGTTTAAGAAGGAAAAAGGTAGACTGACATACTTTTAACAAGCTGCTTTCTTTTCTTGGGGATTTCTCTTGTGTTATGAAGAACATTATCCCTTCACTAAACTCAGTTTGAAAACCACAAGTGGTTTAGCAAATATTAGATTCACTGAAGTTACTAAGTGTTGGTGAAGATGTGGGGAGACAGGTGTGTTATTCGTGGAATTGTAAGTTTATGCAAATTTTTGGTATCTGACAAAATATTTTAAACTTTCACACACTTGACCCATACAAGTCTACTCCAGATATTTATTTTAAGGAATAATCAGTTGAGATCAGACCAAGAGGTCATATGGGACATCTCCTTGCACATAGAAAGCTCTACGTATGAGCTCTAATATATTAATTGAGTCCCTTACTGTGTATCAGGTGCTTTACACATATTATCTCATTTAGTTTTTAAAATGAACTTTATTTTCTATTACAGTTTTAGCTTCACAACAAAATTGAGAGAAAGTGCAGAGAGTTCTCGTATACTCCCACTCCCACACATACACAGACTCCCCCACTATCACCATCCTATACCACATGGTGCATTTATTACAATCATTGATCTGCATTGACACATCTTCGTCACTCAAAGTCCACACATTCTTCTTGGTCTCACACATTTTTAGTTTTGACCAATGTATTCTGATATATAACCACCATTTTAGTGTCATCTGCCCTAAAAATCTTCTGCTTCTGTCTATTAATCCCTCTGTGCACCTTGACTCTGACAGCTATTGATCTTTTTACTGTCTCCAAGGTTTTGCCTTTTCCAGAATGTCATATACTTGGAATCACACTGTATGTAGCCTGTTAGTGTTGACTTCTTGCATTTAGTAATATACATTTAAGTTTCCTCCATGTCTTTTGATGGTTTGATAGCACTTTTTTTCTTTTAGCACTGAATAATATTTCATTATCCATTGAGCTATTGAGGGACAAATTGGCTGCTTCCAGGTTTTGATAATCATGAATAAAACTGCTATAAAGATCTAACCTAGAAATAGGTTTTTGTGTGGACATAAGTTTCCAATTTATTTGTGTAAATACAATGAAGCACGATTGCTGGGTTATATGGTAAGAATATGTTTAGTTTTATAAGAAACTGTCAAACTGCCTTACAAAGTGTCTGTACCATTTTGCATCCCTACCAACAATGGATGAGCATTCCTGATGCTCCACATTCTTGCTAGCATTAGTTGTTGTCAGTGTTAAGGATTTTCACCATTCTAATGGGTGTGCAGTGGTATCTCATTTTTGTTTTAGGTTGCAATTTTCTAATGACATATGATGTTCAGTATCTTTTCATATGCTTTCTTGTAATTTATATATCTTCTTTGGTGGGTGTCTGTTCATGTCTGTTGCCTATCTTTGCATCACATTGCATTCCAAATGTAAGACTCTTAGTAGTTAAGAGATTCCTTCTGAGATTTCGTATGCATCTCTTCAGTTTACTGTGGACATTCCTTTTCACATATTTCTAAGCAATGGAGAACAGCCTTTTGGTATTATCTTGATAAGATTCCTGCTCATTTCCCTTGGAATTTTTGATGTAGACCTCTGAGCCAGATGCAACTTAAAAAATTACACACGTTTGTGTCCAGGAGCACAGTAATCACCAGATAGATGTATAAAAAGATAGCTTCTACTACATTTTCTTGTAAAGTAAGATAATATCATTGTCTGTGTACCACATTGCTTTAATACCATATGCTCATGTGATTTGTTTTACTCTTACCCCAAACTAATCTCTATTGACTCCCACAAGTCTTCAGCTGGTGATTTCAGGATTGAAGAGGTGACCTTAAGCTGGCCACTATGCTTGCATTGAAGTGCCTGTAATAAAGGCACCTTTGGGAAATTTTGCAACTTGACCACTAACCAGCATAAAAACATGAAAAAAATTTGATTTAGAAGACTGTGATTGGGTGTTTGGATCTTATGTTTTCTCTGATTTCAAATCTTGTCTTCAAGGATTTATTTATTTATTTACTTATCCACAAAGAACAATTTAGCACTAAAATGTTCTTATCTTTTTCTGATGTGAGGAGAATCATGAGACTATAGTTATAAACTTAACACAAATAGAAGGGGGCTGAGAAAGGTGGTATCTACAAAACAGTTCTGTGATCTAGAAGTGAAATTCCAGAGAGTACGCTTCAAGAAAGTATGCCAAGCCCCACTGTCCATGAGGCTGACTCTTGATGGATGACAGGGGTATTAGGGTTGGGGAACAGACCAGAGGAGAGCAAAGTGTGCCTAGGATTGGTCATTTGCTGTGGGACGTGGCTGGTGGGACAGCTCTCTCACGAGTCTGCCCATTGTCTGAGGCCATGTTCTTGGAGACTCCTGGGTAAGAGATTTCTTAGACATTAATCACTGTCATTTGTTTAGCACTGTAGTACTTTATTGAGAAAGTTTCCATGTATCTACTAAAACTATCCAATATGACCAAAATAAAGATATCTCCTTTCTCATGTACTGGTGAAGAACTGGGCTAGTCAATATTAATTTGTTTCCAGGGTCCCTGAAATTCTTATCTGAAAACTCTCTTTCTGCTACTTTTCTTGGAGGTCAGTGAATTGCACAGAATAGACATTAGTCCAAGTGCCATAAAATCCTGTAACATCCTAGGTCATGACAATGAATATTTTAGGCTTTCCTTTGCTCCCCTGTTCTTTCTTGTCTCTGGTTTTTGCTGTGTGACTCAAAGTAAAAAATATTCCCAAAGTCCCTTGCAACAGTGCAAGAGTTAGGCTATACCAAATTCACCTTTGTCCCATATTCCTTCTTGATCTTGTGAAATTGTATGGTCTGAATGTGTTCCTTCCAAATTCATATGTTGAAACTCAATTGCCAATGCGACAGTGTTTAGAGTTGGGGCCTTTAGGAAGTGATTAGCATATGAGGACAGGGCCCTCATGAATGGGATTAGTGACCTCATAAAAGGACTTGAGGAAACTAGCTGACCCCTTCCATTCTTCTGCCGCATGAGGACACAAACAATGCAGCAACAAGATGTTGTCTTGGAAGGAGACACTGGGCTCCCACCAGACACGAAACTTACAGACACATTGATCATGTACTTCCCGGCTTCTGGAACATGAGAAATAGGTTTCTGTTATTTTTACATAATCTAATCTGACATATTTTGTTATACTAGCACAAATAGACTAAATCATGAAGCTTCCATTTTTTACAAGTCACTCAAATTAGGGTATTGAAAGTAATCTTCAAGGCCGATGGTCATCTAGGCATCCTGTTCCACAATGCAACTGTGACTGTTGTGTCAGCCAGACAGTCACCCCTAGACATGTGCTTTCTTAGTATTTCCCTAAACTTTCAGCACAAGCACTCCATCCTGGTTGCCAGATTAAAGACCCCTCCTTGGCCGCAAATTATCAGCCCACCAGTGCAGCAGCCAATTTGACACCTAAATAAAAAGTTAAGGCCTAACTCTGGGAGCATGGTCAATTTCCCTTTTCTTTTTACCAACCCAATAAAAATTTTATCCAGTTTAACCTTCTGCACTTCTTTTCAATGACCATGATTCTCCAAAATATCCACTACTTTCCAAGTATTCTAATGACACCTGCTTTTTTCCCTTTCAACTGATTTAACTTTACTGCACTGTTTCAGAGATAGAGAGTATGATTTCTGTTGGGAAATTTTTACAGGTATAGCTCTTCTGTCCAGAGTGCAAAGTTCCATACTTTGTTTTACACATACTGTGCAAAACATTATAATCCACTGGCTGTTTCAGTCATTACTGATCTGCCCTATTAAGATTTTTTGTTCTGAGAAGAATCAATGGGAATTCTTTGAGTCACACACTTAACGAACTTTTTTTTTTTTTTTAAAGGAACTGCTGTTTTGAAAGTTTGGGTGTTCACTTGTTTTAAATTTTGGGATCTGAATTGCAGTTATAGACAAGCAGAACTATATGACCATACTTCATTTTCGCTTTCTAAATATGTGGGT